TCGGAGTCGCCTGGCCGCGTTGATGAGGGCCATGGAGACCCTCTTGATCTGCTGGTACCGTACTTCTGGGCCGTGGAGTGCCTTGCTCGTGAAATAGATGGGTTTTTGTCCAACGGGGGTTTTCCGGATTAACACGGCACTGACGGCTTCGTTCAAAATAGGTAGGTAAAGGTACAGAGTTTCTCCGGGCTTGGGTCTCGTCAGGACGGGTGGCTCTGAGAGGACGCGCTTGAGGTGGTGGAGCGCTTGCTCGCATTCCTCCGTCCATTCGAGCACAACCTCCTTCCTCAGCAACTTGAAGAAAGGGAGGGCACGCTGTGTGGACTTGGCGACGAAGCGCGAGAGCGACGCCAACATCCCGTTGAGGGATTGTACCGACTTCTTCGAGCTCGACATCGCGATTTTAGAAAAGGCCCGACATTTGTCCAGGTTTGCTTCGATCCCGCGCTCGGTCAGATAGAACCAGAGGAACTTCCCTACGCGTACTCCGAAGGTGCATTTCTCCGGGTTGAAACGCATCCTGCACTTCCTCGCCGTTGCAAAAACTTTCTTGAGATGGGCCGTGTGGTCGACCTCCGTGCGAGACTTGACGATCATGTCGTCCATATAGACCTCGAGCATGTCGCCGATCTCTCCTCGGAAGACTTTGTTAATCATCCGTTGATAGGTGGCACCGACATTTTTTAGGCCGAAGGGCATTACATTGTAGTAATAGTTCCCCGATTCGGTCATGAAGGTCGTGCTCTGTTTGTCGGCCTCAGCCATGGGGATCTGGTTGTACCCCGAATATGCGTCCATGAAGGACAAGAGTTTAAAGCCCGCCGAGTTGTCGACGAGCTCGTCGATGTTGGGAAGAGGGTAGGCGTTCTTAGGACACGCCCGGTTGAGGTCGGTGTAGTCAACACACATTCTCCATTTTCCATTACTTTTTTTAACAAGTACAACGTTGGACAACCAGGTTGAATACATGGCTTCCGAAATAAAATTTTCCTCTAGGAGGTCTTTTACAGCTTTTTCAGTAGTCGCCACCTTTTTGGGGGACTGCATACGTCTACGTTGTACTACGACCCTAGCGGCCGGGTAGATGGAGAGCTGGTAGCAGGCGACCACGGGGTCGAGTCCGGGCATCTCTGCGGCGCTCTAGGCGAAAAGTTCGGCATTCTCGCGGAGGCAGGCCTTCAGTTGTTTCCTGGCTAGGTCGGGCAGACCCGCCCCAATCTTCGCGGTCTTCGTTGCGTCGTCCCTGAGGGTCACGATCTCGAAGTCTCTGTCTGGGATGGGGCGCATTGGATGGATAGGCTACCCATTGGAGGTTGGAGGAGTGTCGCTGAGTTCGCCCTCCCGATCTGGCTCTTCGGCGAAACGGCTGTCTAGGTCTACGGAGTCGACATGGTCCTTTGGCTTGCTCTTCGGGATGGTGGAGGGTACAACTTTCTTGGTCGCTGGACCGATCGTACTTAGGCCCTTCATCACCGCGTCAAAACATCGACGGGATGCTTCGATGTCACTGTTGAGGGTGACCACGACCCCTAACCTGGTGTAGTACTTCATTTTTAGATGTACGGTAGATGGCACCGCGGTGAGCTCGGCCATTATCGTCCTGCCCAGGATGCAGTTGTAGAGAGACGGGTACTCTACGACCAAGAACCGAACGTTTATTTCCCTGGCTGTTTCTTTCTCTCCGAAGGTGGCCTTGAGCTCCACGTATCCCCATGGTTTGGTTGTTGTCCTGTTGAACCCCTGAAGGTCGGAGCCTAGGTAGGGGGACAAGTTGGACTCGTCGAGCTGGAGTGTCGCGAAGAGGTGGGTGTACATGATGTCCACTGAGCTCCCTCCGTCGACCAGGATACGTCTGACGTCGAAGTTCGCCATCTGCGCCTGAATCAGGAGGGGGATGTTTGAGTTGGGAGCCCCTCCGGGGAGTTCCTCGAGGTAGAAGGTGATTGGATTGGATCGACCATGGAATTTGTCAATTGAGCTCATCTTGCCGGAGCTGTTGTTGATAAGCTCGTGGGGAGCTCAGGTAGTTCGGCGGGCATACTGAGTTCTCTGAGGGCGAACCAGTCTTCAGGTCGACTGATGCTGAGGGCAACCTGCACGCCAGAATTGTTGTCGGGGGCAGGGAGGTCCTCAACTCGTTTAGCCTCGGGAGCCTCCTGTCGCGGGGGCTCTCCTCCTCGAGTGTACCTTTTCAGGTGCCCGTCTTTGATCAGAATCTCGATAGCGTCTTGGATGCAGTCCTCAGTTACGTGGTCGTGGCTTTAGTGGAAGCGGAAGTACTTTGATCTGTCCACGTTGGCTTTGGTGGACGTCGGTTTCGGGAAGCGGACGCCTCTCTGGACGAACTCCGTTTTGGCGCACTCCACCAGTATGCGCTCATGGGAAGCGACTAGGGTCGTGTATTTATTGAAACGACCAGCTGGGCCACACTGCTCGCGGGGTTCCGGTTGGCGGTCATCTCGCCGTTGGTCTCCCCCGCGCCGGTGGTTTAAGGCTTCGTCGTCTCGGGACCCGCGAAGGGTCTCTCTATCCCTTGTGTCACGGGCGGAGTTGGCCACCTGAGTCTCCTCGAACCGGATGTAGTGCGCGGCCCTGTCGAGGAAGTCTTGGAGCGAGTCCAGCCGGCGGTTGGCCATAACGTTGTAGAATTTGGAGTCTCGGTGCAGGCCTTGCTCCATTAAGTAACGCTTCATCTCATATGAAGTCGTCACCTGTACCACCTCCTTTGTAAACCTCTCGATGTAATTTCGGAGAGGCTCGTCAGAGGCCTGGATGATCGCGCCGAGCGCGGCCTCTGTCTTCGAACGACGCCTGGACGCCATGAAGTGCCGTGAAAAGAGGTCTTTCAGGACCCTCCACGACGTGACGGACTCCGGCTCTAGGCTCCTGTACCACGTCATTGCTCCTTTCCTCAAGGTCGCTGGGAAGAGCCTACATTTGATGGCTCCTCGGATGTTGCGGTAATCGAGCATGGCCTCGATATCCTCCAGGTGATCGTCCGGGTCCGAGGTGCCGTCGTACGTTGAGAACGCAGGTGGCTTCTCCATCCCGTGGGGAATGGGTGTTGCCATGATCTCTCGTGAATGTGGGGTCCTGTAGTCGTCCTCGTCGCTTAGGATCAGAGAGCGAGGTGGTGAGGGACCATGCCGAGGAGGGGGTTGATTCCGTACCCTTGGTTTCCTGACCGGAGGGTCCGTCCTTGTCGTCCTGGGCTCCTGGCGCCGCTCCTTCCTAGTCGGCGACCTTGGGCGCTTCTTGGAGACCACAGGCTGGGGCCTCTCCAGTTGAGATCGTCGATTTCTTGGACGAGGGGACGAACTTCTCGAGTTTCCGTTCTGGCCTTCCCGCGGAGGGGACCGGGACGGGGCTTCGTTTTCCAGCGTGCCAATGCGCTCACTCTGCAGGAACAACATTTGATTTGTCTGGTTGATGGCCGCAAAGAGGGCGACCATCGTCGGGTCCGCTCCGGCCGGAATGGGGATGGGCTGGAAAACTGCTAGGCTCCCTGCCCGAGGAGCCATTCGGCTTGGTGCTTCTTCGGAAGATGGAGAGGCAGTTTGGCCGTCCCTTGCGTCGGTCTTGTGGAGCTGAGATGTCCCTGCTTGGTCGTCGCCGTTGGTGGCGGGGACATGGGTTAGGTCGTGAACGACATCGCCGTGGTGTGGGCTAGTCATGATCGTGAAGTGTTTTGAGGGGTCAAACTTTGGTTCTCTGCTCGGAGGAACGGGGAAGTTTATTTCCCACAGACGGCGCCACTGATCGTACCTGACCAGAAGGGATCAATGACCTGCCACGCGTTGAGGATTTGATGCTGCTCAACAAGGTGTTGAAGAGGAGGGGGTGTACCTGAAACACACTCCGATGTCAAAGTAAGTGATGGGAAGAGTGGAAGCAAGTACAGAGAGAGAGTAGAGATGTCCAGTTACCTGATTCTCTAGTGAAGAGGGTATTTATAGTGAGCCCCCAGCGCAAGGTCAACAGTTACTTACCACTAGGCTGGGCTGCCAGGCCCAATGTCAGCAATTGCTAGAGTTGACGTGGCGTCGTGAAGACCAGGAATTGGTCTTCGCCCTAGGGTAACTGCTCCGTATTATCCGGGAAGAGGGAGACCGAATCTCCAGAAAGTGGGCAGTTACTTCATGACGTGTTCCTGCGTGAAGGGCACGTGGAGGGGAAGGCCCGAGGACTTCTCCGAAAAGAAAAAAGCTGGCTGGTCGGATGCGAGGATACTGCCCGACGAGGGGCAGGAAAATGCTGGATGGTCGGCGGCAGGGGTCCTACCCGACAGCTGAGGGCATCTGCCCGACGGGGATGAACGACGTGCCCGACAGGTCTTTGTTCGTCAGAGTAGTCCCATTGGGCCAAACCTCAATGGGGTTTTGGGCCTGCTTGATTGTGGGCTAAGCCTTAGCCCGGTCCAGAACAAAATATATATATATATATATATATATATATATATATATATATATATATATATATATATATATATATATATATATATATATATATATATATATATATATATATATATATATATATATATATATATATATATATATAAAATTCATAATTTAAAAAGTTAATATATTTTTGCTATAAATAAATTATTTTTGTGAATCTTTATAATTTTATAAAAGAAATTATAAATTGTAATTTTCATATTAAAAAATTAATCCAACATAAATTATATTAAATTATTAAATCTTATTTTTAAAAATAATCACCTAAAACCAACTCAAATTACATACCATAATTTTATATTTGAACTAAATGAATTTTTTACTTCAAAATTAATTTAAACCGCTCTATAATAATTAAAGACGAAAATACCTTAATTTAACTTTAAAATACTATAATAAACTTAAGTTGAAAATCAAAATGCATAATTTCAAACATTAATACAAAGAAATGTTGGTATAACTACCGATTATTATTATTTTATTCCCTAACTTGCTTAGATCCCCTCATAATCTTTCACTGCTTCTCTTCATCCACCAATCTCAGTAAAACCCACCCTGCAACCAAAATTTCAAAATAATTAATTAAATCTAACTGTTTAATAATTTTACTAATTCAACTTGTTAAATAAAATTACCTCTGGATGAAAAGTGAGAGCCAAACGAACTTCTCCACAGTAATTCTGATTCTTCACAACATTATAAGAAGTTTCTGGCACACTATATTCCTCAAGAACCGGTCCCAAATGAATTCTGCACAAAAAATTAAATTTTATAAATAAATAAATAAATAAATAAAAATATTTTTTATGTTAAAAAAAAGAAAAGAAAAGAAAAGAGTAACTTACATTGTCTCACCAAGAAAATCATCTCTGGTAAATTTATCTTTATCCATTAGCCTCAAATTAAGTTCAGCAACATTATCAGCAACTGTGAAAAGAAAGCTTTCATTCCAACGAGGATTAGATCCTGCATCTATTAATTAAACATCCTAATTAAGTCACTAATAACAATTAACAACATTTTAGCCATATATTAATTCAGAATATGTAAAAAAAAATATTGAAACTTACTTTTGGCTACACTGCTTATGTGTTCCTGAGTTTTATAAGTCAGAATCACATAGGGATCCATTTTCTCTGCTTCATAAAAAAATTATACACATAATATATGAAATCATTTTTAACAGATTAGAAAAAAATTAATTTTCATGCATCTATATGCAAGTATATAGTAGATAATCTAAACTATTAGATTAAACATTGTATTTAAAATACTTACTGAAAAAATCAGTGTCATGAAGGCCTTTTGCTCCAATGAGAATCACTTCAAGAGTTCCACGAGGCATGTTTTGATTACAATCTTCTCTTAAAAGATATAAATCTAAATAACTAATTGATGAATACCAAATCTCTCACAAGCAATTTATATACTGTGAAAAATAAAATAAAAGAATAGTCTCTTTTTATTATTAGTATTATAATTGTTGAAAAAAATATATTTATTTTTATAAAAAATCTTAGTACTGAAGTAAGACTTTTTGAATACAAATTTGGAATTAACTTTATTTTAATATTATTTTTAGCTTTTAATGTACTTGTCCAATTATATTCTTTATAATACTAATTATTTATAATTAATTTTGAAATTATAATAATTGTAAATACATCAATCTTTAATAAAAATAAATTTGGTCAAATTGATGGTGTTTTTTTCCATTGTTTATTCTTATTTTCAGATTTGATAAGATACTCTTTTTTAAAAAAAAAAAGAAAAAAAAAAGATTATTACTTCTTAATTTGTATTAAATAGTCTAACATGAAACAAATAATAAGATGAGTGGAGCATATAGTATAAATTTTAAAAAAAATTTGGAGTATTGAATTTATTTACTTTTTTTAAAAATAATTTTACAAGTTTATTTTTTAAAAAGTTATTTAATATTTGAGTTTTGGATTGGCAACGGTATTAAGACCGATTCAATCCACAAATTTAAGGGAATTGCTTCTCCCACTCTAAATAGTGGAGAAACACTCAATGAAAACTTGAAAATATTTATATGAATTCGAAAATATATTTTCAAACGCAGCAGTTTCACACCAAAACGCTTTCTATGTGAAACACACTCTTATTTTTCTAAACTTTAGCTTGAAACTGTATCTTCAGACACACCAATCAAAATTTTTGTTCATTTAAAAACTCATTGATTAATTCGAAAGTACACTTCCAAATTTATGAAGCGAAAATTAAAAAAAAAAAGTCATATTTGTATGTCAATGATAAATCTGTAAGTGCATTTCCAGATTTGTCAAGCAGGAAATTTAATAATAGCACCTTGCATGTCTATTTCTGTCATGATAAAAAAAATATCATTTTTGTTCAAACCCTATCAAAACCTCCTTCCATACACATTCAAATTTTTTATTTCGAAACAACATTCATATCTTTTTTTACATCAAAAAGAGCAAAATAAGTTGAAATTTAAGGTAATGTACATGTATTCACTATGCCAAAAAAGACCTTTAGCATCGTTTTTTTGGGTCTTTAGCAGCGTTTAAAAGCGCTTCCTAAAGTGACACTGCTAAAGGTAAAGACAACGCTTTTTTAAAATAAAAAGCGCTGCTATAGACTCATTTTTAGCAGCGCTTTTCCAGAAAAGCGCTCTCTTTTCCCCCCACCTTTAGCAGCGCTTTTCAAAAACGCTGCCTAAAGTGTATTTGGTGAATACCTTTTAGCAGCGCTTTTTCAAAAAAGTGCTCTCTATTCCTCCACCTTTAGCTGCACTTTTAAAAAACGCTGTCTAAAGTGTATTTACTGAATGCCTTTAGCAGCGCTTTTCTTAATAAAAGCGCTGTCTATTCCCCCACCTTTAGCAGCACTTTTTTAAGCGCTGTTTTCCCTCCCATTTCCCCCTATAGCAGCGCTTTCAGAAGCGCTCTCTTTCCCCCCTTTTAGCAGTGTTTTTTTCAAGAAAAGCGTTGTCTTTTCTTCACGTCATTGAATTTTTTTTTCAAAAAAATCACTTTTTCGTAGCGCTTTTTTGGTAAAAGCGCTGTCTATTTTTCATATTTTTATGAAGTGATTTTTGTTGAATTATGTTGCACCATTTTTTTTTATAATTTTTCCCATAAAATTGCTTATAACAATTACATTCACCACAGACCTTTAGTTCAACACTTTGGCCTTATATATACCATAACAATTCAACATATAAACCTGCTTATAATTGTCGCACCCTAATTTTTGACCTTAAGACCCCCCCTCTTTGTTTTTTTTCTCTTGCCCGTCCTATTATACTCTTGTATACTGCAACTAACAAATACGTGCAGATGCAGTAATGTCAAGCATGGATCCTCGCAGTTGGGATTTTGATATAGTGGACCATATCTCGCTAAAGTCAAGTTCTTAAGGTTTACCAATGGACAAGTAATTACTCATTCGAGATGCACTCTTTTAAGAATAAATCCCAAGTTTCAAAGCATGAAGGCGGAAGAATTGAAAGGTCACATTGTACAAGTTGAACATGAATCGGTTTTAAGGATAATTCCAAATCTTATGGTTTGCTTCAAATTTCGCAAGCCGCAATCAATTTCATTTCAAACAAGGTCTCAAAACGTGGGCCATAAAAATAATTGTGTGCTACCTTAGAAGCCTATCAAATCTTACGTAGGTACTGTTATTTTAAGACATGTGTGTGGTTTTTTTTGCAAAGCCGTGTTTGGAGTGCTTTAGTCGGGAGCTGGATTTAGTTGGAGCAACGTAAGTCATTCTCAAGTGATTGACATACGAAAACGCGGAAACATTGGAGTTGTGTACAAATTTCTTTACAAAAGCCATAGACTCAAGTCATAATGTGCAACGGTAGCAATAGCATATCACGATCTAATTTATGGACCAAATCATGATCATTAATTAAACAATTCAGTGAATTAAGAATTACAAGCTGCATTTCTCTTTTCAAAGTTGTACAAGGCTCAAGGAAATAAACAATAGGGTTCTAAACTCCATTTCGAGCTCAATTGGTCTTCGCTCCCAGCAGCAATAGTTTTAATAAACTAAAGAAGTCAAGTTCCCCAAATGCTACAGAGAAAAGGGTTGTAGGATCATAGCCAAGACAGATCTGCAGAACATAATGAGAGGACAACATCCTTAAGTTTTTAGAAAGCTGTTTTTGGGAAAACCTCATGTTAAGCTCAGAGTATTCTCCACCTGACGAACCATCGATGTTGAAGGCATCCCCATATGACGTGACCGGCGGCAATAACTATTCCCTTTTTGTTACGCATTTGTCTTCCGGACTTGATCTAGACGTGGACTGCGAACTAAAACCTGTCAAATGCACACTTAATTCACCATGAACGAAATGGAAACCTTTTATTCAACCTATTATTTTATCTCCTAATCTCTAACAAAGATTATAATTTGAAGACAGGAATTCATCATAGGCACTCTTTCAAAGACTTACCATGACTGCAACATCAATAATATACCTGAACAGAGAACGCGTTCACGGTGGTACCGTCTTGAAGAGCAACTACCTCGTGTACTTGCCTCTCGAAATAGACACAAGAGCCTGAGAAAAGATGAATGCCAGAACTTTGGTCCACAAGCAGACTAAAAAAAATCACAACTTCTGAAAGGAAGACGAGAAGTAAAGATGAGAATCAAACTAGACTTACAACATCAAAATGGTTTTCTCGAATCCGCGCTCCATGAATTCATGTCAAAGGCCCTGAACAAAAGAACGTCACCTACGAACAAAATATGCAACAACAACCTATGACTGGCTGAACACAAGCTACCATGAACCACTCCAGAATGCCGCATCGCGCCATGCTCATACCATCATTACCATCACCCAAACCTTCCTCAGCACTGAAGTTAAGACCGGCAGACTCCGAATTGTTAACAGGGCCCTGAAAGAGAAAAGGAAGGTCAGTCAAATTCAACAAGTAACAGCTCAAGAGTTCATCACGAACAAACAAGAGCAACGACTGCATTGGTAAAAGACAGCAACCCAACTTACTTACATCTGCGGGAAGGCCATCACAAAATCAAGTTCTGTGAAAATAGAGCACAGGTTGAAAGGGAATCAACAACACCACAACCTGGCCCTGTGTCAGAGTCCCACCCCTCCACTTTGAGACCACTAATCATAACCTTAAGAACTCGCAAAGTCCATACCACGGGACACGTTAAACTTTCCGCAGCCCTGCATTTCATAAGCAAGTGTCAGCAGATAAGAGGAGGAAGGGAAGGAGGATGTGTTGAGTTCATAATTGCCTACCATGATCCAAATCTACGTCAACTTGCCAACAACTTCAACTTCCACAGCTGCATCACACCAATTGCACCCGCTGCAATAAAACTATTATCATTAGTAGAAGAATTGAGCAGTTCATCTTTCTGTAGAAAACAACCAATGCCAGGCCCACAAGACGAGAGCATACATAAAGAATTTGAAGTTTGTGAGAATACGACCTTACATCCCGAAGATTACGTGGCGGGATTGGCGTAACTTGAGTCAGAGCAAGAGCATGAACCCCATGGAAATTCTTTTAACTATGACAGAAGTCGAGGTAAAAGTCACCTATCAGCAGAAGGTCATGCGAAGCTGACTGTCTCACTTGGAAGTCCTTCATGGAAGCTACGCCTTTGTCCTATCCTCCTCTTACAGCCACACAATCACAACTATATGCAAATCCCTCCTTACTAATAACCTCGCTTTTCCTTTTCTTTTGTTCGCAAGATAGAACTTTGAGCACCTTCACGTGAGTCTACACCAGAGAATATCAGGGTTAATCGAAGTTCATTACATCAAATGTAAAAAAGTCAAGTTGGTGCTCTGGGCTGCTAATTCCCCCTTGGCCCAAGTCAAACCGTTTTCTACACCTGTCAAAACAGCAAAATCCAAATTAGTAAATCCAGAAGAATATCCCCAAGATGCTCCGAATATCCAATCCAAATCGCAGTTATTACAGATTTGATACACAATATCAGGGTTTGAAATTTCCACTTAACAGGCATTAAACGAAATTATTCGAAAAGAGAAAGTTTTCAAATATTGTCTACACTAGAAAGGAAAATCCAATCAACCATCAATCAGCATTCAAAACACTTCAATCAGGTTTAACACGAAGAAATCAGACGTGAGACTATAAATTGGGAATGATACTCAAAGAGAGGGAGGAAACCATAAACTTGCGAAATTGAAAGAGTGAGAAAACTTATCTCTTCTACCGTCAAAGCCTTCGAAGCCACCGCCCCCGCCGCGAGTCTCCAAACCTTCGAAGCCGCCTCGCCATCTCGAATCCCGTCGCCCACAACTTTTCGGTAAACCTTTGATTC